GTTGACATTGCAGTCAACGACATGGCTCGGATTGTAACTGGGTGTTTGAAACCAACCCCAGTACACAAACTCTATCCTATCATAGGGATCGCCCCTCCATCAATCCGACGTGATGTCGCTGCCGACGCAGAAAGGACTAAGCAAGAGACAGACCCTCGTCACCCATTACACGGCCACCAACCTTCAGAGCGACGGCTTCGTTCCAGGAAGAGAATTTTATCACGGACACGAGTCCTGGATGGATCACTCTCAAGCAATCGGGTGGCAAGGTGGGAGGCCACGTTGACTAATCCTCCCATACCAGCCAGGGAGGAATTGGCTCCTGGTGGAGGCCTTCATTACACGGTGTGGAAGACCCTAAATCGAATTGGGGTTCAGGTACCAAAATGCAAGACAAACATGCAGAAATGGGGTCTCTTACCAGAGGAAGAAAACATCTCGTGCGCGTGTGGTGCTGTTCAGGATCCTGGCCATCTGCTGATCTGCCCACGCCTAGACCAGTCTTGCACATTAGATGATCCTCAGAAGCTAGAAGTACAATATTGTGACATGAGATTCCAAAGGCAGAAACCGACTTTTTTACATTTCCAAAGAGTTAACGACTTGTTAACTCCTCAACCCCCTGGTAGAGAGGGCAAGGCCACACTATATAGTGTGGCCTTGAGAGTCCCCCTAAAGCCCTATACCCTATTCACTGACAGGCACCGCAGTTCTTCATTCATCCGCCAGTTCGCCACAGCGCTAGTATCTGGTATCAAGCCTATCATATGTCTCGACGGTGGTCGACCGCTAAGTAATGTCATTAGGGTCCGGTCTCCGCCCCACCGCTCCTTCCCGCATTTTAACTAAGGCTGATTTATCTGCTATTGTTTCATTTGCCTTTGTTACCGAGTCCGGCATCAGGTTAATTGATTTTCCGGTTCGATCGTTTAAAGGAATTTGACATACGTTTATTACGATTTGTAGGTTTTTGTGTTCTTGGTGAATTGCTAAGGGGGTTGAAGATGAAATGTGCTAAAATTTACTTTAATTTTTCGGGGTTTTAAGTTAAGTTGAAAATATTTTGTATCTTGGTTTACCAAGTATTCCGAGATGCGCTGTACAGTACTCAACGTCATAATCATCCAACAAGATCGTTGTTCGTTGGTTTTCATATTTTTCAGTTTTTAAGCGTTGTTGTTTGATGACAAACGAGCTTATTCATTTGCAGACACATGGTATCTGGACCCCTTTAAAAAGTCATTAGTGGAATTTGCAAAAAGTATGTAGTAGTTATTAAACTTAATACTTTTTCTATGGATTTTCCATACTTTATTTATATCCCAAAGGTCGCCACTGATTTACCTATCTGTTTACTGACCTTTGATTAACGCCCAGGTCAGAGTATGGTGACTGCAAATTTATGTTGAAAAAATATAAATTTAACTAGTTCTGAGTAGGTTATTAATCAGTGTTAGAGCTTGTGACATTTTATGTGAAATAATTGCGCCATTGCGCCAAACTTCAAATGGTTGTGGATATGCCAGAAAATGTTACAATAACTCTCGCGCCAAAGTCATGCTAGCACTGCTGTCGGTCTATATTTAATCCTATTTGTCTATGTAAAGATGCAACAACTCACCTGTACCATAGACATTAATTCTTTTTGTCTGTGCCTGTACGAAGCAATACACGCGAGTTTTTTTAATACACCTGTATATTCGACGGGCTCGTATACTCAGTAGTCGGTTGTTGCGTCCGTCCTTGGACACAAACCCATCACTCAGACGGGACGTAGGATGAAGACCTCGTTTAGATTATCTCTGGTGAAGTATCGTTTGTCATCTGGACAGGTCCATTAATAAATTGGCCAATAACAACAAAGCTGCAGTAGATCTGATCTCTGTAATTGCTATGTACACTTTGATGGTGTTTATTTGATTAATGTTAATGGTGTAGTATTTTGATTGATTGTGGTTTATGTTGCTGAGGTTTCTAGTTTGGATGTTTTGTTGGGATGGGATGTGTGAATGTTTCTGGTTTGTAAATGTGAGTTAGTCGTAGCTACTCTGACAAAATATTGAATCACTCGCAGCAGAATAGTTATAATATGTCCAGGATGGTGCTTATGATAATTTTTTAGATCAATGATATCCGAATGTACAGCTAAAAAGGCATTTTCATAGATCAAGATAATGTAAATGCTCTTAGGAAAATTACTTTGTCTAATTTGCCTAAAGAGGCAGTACTGTACTAGACTGTCAGACGTTGCTACAAGAGTTTTAATTTTAATAACCACGAACTAATCTGTGGGTTGAACTGTAATTTTTCTTCAAAACATTTAAAAACTCCATAAGTCCCTATTATGATCAATGTTTCAATACATTCCAAATCTAAATGCTGCTATATTGTGTTTTCCTGGATCCAAAGAAGAGATGACCAGGATCCTTCTTCCTGATATGAACTATTTCTACTCGTGTGAGAGAGAGTAAGGCATGGTGAACTATTTACCCCGTACCTGTCACACTACTTCTAGACTATCACTGACAGTAAATGATAGTCACGACACCTCACTTTCTATACTGCCCTGCCACACTTCAGTTTCTTCTGTTGCTCTAGTTCAAACTAAAGCGGGGAAGAACGGACACGTGTGTCATATAAACTCAGTAAAATAACATATTCCCATTAATAATTGAATGATACCATTGATTATCTGTTGATATATCGTTAAAGTATGTGCATCGTTAATGTTAATACCTGCAGCACTGGTACGGTCACGAAGAAGGAGAACTCTATCTCTGCGACACAGTATCTGATTTTAATTTTCATCATTCAAGTTGGTGGTAGTTTTATATGACTGTAATTTCAGCCTAATGAAATATTACCTTATACAAGTCAGCAGGGAGCATGAAATCGACATGCTGTGTATCGATTTCAGTATTTTTGTGCTATTCTAAGTACCCCAGAATACACTAATTGGAAGCATTCGTCGTAGAAAGATTAACTCATTACTCAAACAAAGTACTAAATAATTTGTACCTTATGTTGCGTTTAGATTTGTTTGATTCTGTATTTTGCTTTGTATTGGACTTTCTGCATCGTGCACTGTAAACGAGATCTGTTTTTCGAAAGTAAAAGTTTCATCGTGTTATATGCAAACACAAAAAAGTGTGTTTTAGTACCTACCGACTTTACTATTTATCGATGGTGTAACAGCAAATAATATTTTTTTCGTAGTGGCATTGATACTTTATCTTTAACCCAATAGTAATTTTAAATCAAATATTATTCCTGTTTATAGTAGTTACACAATGTAAGACGTTACTCGGAGAACACCAACTACACACTTCTGTATATATAATTGAACATTAACGGACCTAAGAGTAAACCTTGTGGCAGTCCCATTCACGTCTTGATCACTCCACAATGGTCTACTTGACGTGATCGCCGCAGCCCGCGACTGGCACCGGCAACCGTCTCAACCGTCAATATCAATTTAGCAGAGTTGGTTTTGTCAACTCGACAGTTGGAAGTGTTTCATTAAATTCTCCAAAGTTTTGGGACAAGTTTGTGTCTAAAGTCATCACATAACTCCTCGCCGTTCTCCTGTCCTCCTACATGCACACTCAAGGTTGGCAGGAACATTCTATTGAAATACTGCTTATGTTTAGACAGTCCCTTCTATACGAGAGATTTTGTATGTTTGTTACTCGTTTCCTGTTTCAACTTAGTTTGGGATTGGCTCAAATGCTCACCGTCAAATGTTTTGTGGAAATATTACCTACTAGGTAGGAAGGTAGGAATATCGATTGATATTGATATTGATATTGATATTGAAGAGATTGCGTCGTTTTAACGAGAAGCGTATTTGAGTGGTAGTTGTAGTAAATATCTATCACCACAGGCTGCAGTACTGATTCCTATTACATAACTTTAAAGTTTATATCAAAATCAATATTTTTGTCATATTTGTCTTTAAGACGAAAAAATATTCATGAAAATCAAAATTTAAAGTGCGAACAAACAAATATCCTTGGCTCTTAAAACTTTGGTTTTGTATGTATATGAAGAAGTGCTTTGGTCCGTTGTGTTTTTGGAAGAGGATCTTTTTTATTAACGCACGTTTTTTTTATTTGTCTCAATGGAATAACCAAATGAAATACTCAGACCGACGTCGGGTCGGGGATAAAGCCAAAGAAAGTGTTATCGTAGGTCTTCGATGTTCGTTTATAGGTCTTTGACCAAAGACGCGTAAACAAACTATGTAAACCTGCCAGACGGCGGCCTCTTATCTGTCGACCATGTAAACATTCTCACAGGTGCTTCACACCACTCGCTGTGTTTGGGATTCATTTGGAGGCTGGTTTAGTTTTTGCTCCTCAAAGGGTTATTGGATATGTTATAAACGAGTAAACATTACGAGGCTGTAGAATTTCCCATAACACTCTGATGATCTATTTGTGAGATGTATTTTATATACTTATGATATTTCAAGAAACTGTATGTCCTGAATTGAAAAGGCAGTTGTGTTCACAGATAATTGAATGTTTATTTAATTATCGCAAGTTAGCTGTTTCAAACTATTTCATCGTACTTTTCTGGTTATATTTAGAATCCAACAACGATAAAAAAACATTGTTAAAGCATTTCAACTTTCAAAGTACTGTATGTTAAATTATTTTGGCTACAAAAACGTCTACTTGGTTTATTTAATGCATTTCCAATTTGTAGGGCCTATGTCACTCACTACCAACAGGACGAATAAAACACCAGAACATCATGATCTGAACATACGTAGTTAATAACCCAGATCTGATTTTAACTGGAATATTGCTTCCGAGGGAAAATTGCAGTTAAAAAATGAGTACTTGTTGAGAATATAAATTTTTCATGTTTTTTAAGGGAACGTGTGTGAGTTTTTCCTCTTTATTCCACCTTAAGAGAATTTGATCTTCCAAGAGCAGAGTTTCTTCAATGCGCCCGCCCCTTTAGCCTTGTCTGACCGTCACCCCGTGTTGCAGGTGGCTGCGGAGGCATGAGGGGTTGCCTGAAGTGCGACACCCGCAACTCCAGCGACGTCAAGTGCCTCAAGTGCCGCCAGATGATCATCCTGGGGACGAGGGAGTGCGTAGAGTCTTGTCCCCCGGGCTACTCGCAGGAGTGGAGCACGCTGGTCGACTACATGGGCCGAGTCTGTAGAGGTATAACTAAAGTGCTCAATGCAATTAAATGTAGTGCTACTCATTCAAGAAGCTCTAATTTCATTTCCTATGTGGTCAAGGTTTCATGGATTACTGTAGAATTTTAATACATGCTTATATTATAGCTCCAATAAGGATTATGTTAAACCAAGTAGTTGTGTTAACCGCCAAACATAGTAGGAGGTGAAGGTGATATTATTATTCATAATCAGTGTTAGTCAAACTGAATCCCCTTAGAATTTCATCTTGCACATCTATCTATCTATCTATACTATTATAAAAAAGAGGTGGTTGCTGTATGTATGGGAAAAGTAAACGCGAAAAATACTGGTCGGATTGGGCTGAAATTTGGCATGATGATAGCTCACATTCCCGATTAACATATAGGCATATTCTTATTTCAAAAATCCTTTCGGGCTCCGCCCCAGTGGCTCTGGAGTGTCCCATCCCATGTTAACCTTATGAGAAATGAAATTATTGAATCTTAACAGCTGTTTCAATTAAACAAGTTGGTTCTGTTCTGTGATGTTCAATAGCATTAAAGTTACAAGGATTACCAACAGGGTGCAGCACTAGCACTATTATTTCTTTTACATTTATGACAACAGCTAATTTGCAACCAAAAGGTGAGTGAGCGTAGCGAACGAACTTCAACCTGGAGGCGAGTGAGCGTAGCGAACGAGCTAACCTGAATGCAAGTGAGCGTAGCGAACGAGCTAACCTGAAGGAAAGTGAGCGCAGCGAACGAGCTCCAACCTAAAGGTGAGTGAGCGTAGCGAACGAACTTCAACCTGGAGGCGAGTTAGCGTAGCGAACGAGCCCCAACCTAAAGGTGAGTGAGCGTAGCGAACGAGCTCCAACCTAAAGGTGAGTGAGCGTAGCGAACGAGCTCCAACCTAAAGGTGAGTGAGCGTAGCGAACAAACTTCAACCAGGACGTGATTGAGCCATGCGAACGAGATAATCTTGAAAATTAAGAAGTTAAACGGGGCAAAGCCCGCGGGTTACAGCTAGTTAGTTTATAGATTAAATCTCTAATTTTAGCTGCTGTCACATTCCGAAATTGCAAATCGTCGTTTTAACGTTACTGTATGGAACTTTTGATACGCATTGCTTTACAAATTTGTGTACAAAAACATTGTATCAATGGTATTTTAAGTTGCGGTTAAGTTAAGCGGTTAGTTACTGGGACTGAGGTTTTAACTTTTAGCTATATAATTTACCAAAATCAGGTTTATAACAAATCGCAAAACTGTTACCAGCCATAAACGGATGGTATCCAGAACACACACGTTATTGGAAGCTTTGTAACTAGTTTCTAAGACTAAAATGTCAATTCTTTCAATATTTTCAAATTTTTAATTTAGTACGTAATGGATATGAAATAGTACAAATACAAAAGTTGTAATGAGTCCATCTCTAGAAATTCAGCACAAGAACTCCGCCGAGATGACAGGCATTGTAAGAACTGAGTTATTTTCGTAATGACATGTTTTGTGGAAACAAACAGACACTCACATTCGTATGTTGAGGCGATTATCTAGTCAGAGGTCAACGGAGGGAAATGGCACAGAGATTCGGATGTGCTTTCTTTGGCAACACGCAGTCGAAGAAGAACGTGAGAAAAAAGTTTGGAAAGGAAATAATGAGGACGAAGTAGTGCGTAATGTGAGGATTTCCAACGATTCCAATGCTGAAGGGGTTTGTTATTACTGGAAAATCTCTTCTGCAATATAATTACAGGGACATAGAATGTGAGAAATTTCTCTCCAAATGACTTAATTTAAATTAAACGTGTCGTGTTTCATCAAAGTGGTTTGGTTGTCTTAGCCTGAGGCTTGTCTACCTGCTCAAATTTTTGTTTTGTGATTTTTGTTCAAATTTTATAATCTACCTTAACTTACCGATAAATATTTTAGTTGTTCGTGCGGATTTGTGAAATTGTGAAAGTTGACGCTGTGTACCATCTCCGTGGCCACTGTAATCGGTAATTTGTCTTCTTATAGGTTTCGTACATTTTGTCATGACATGAATGAATTTATATTCAAACTTCCAACCGCTATTTCAATAGTGAATTGAGCAAACCAGCGTCGTATTTCTAACTGACAAATAACCACCAACCTACAGCGCATGGATTTATGAAAAATTCCTCGGTTTATCCAGAGATCATTTGTCATTTCAAACTACTATATTTCTGACAAGTTTACACTTTATCACGTCATGTCAAAACTTGTCACAGTATCAGCAGTTAATTGAGAGAAAGTATTTGCTGATTAGCCACTTAACGTAACGAGTGAGGGTATAAAACGTCTATTATCTGGAGTCAAGAGCCTGCTGGACCATAAACAGCTGATTTAACGCAGTGACGTCACAGCAGTTAGCAATCAGCTGTTCTGGGTTCAGAGGCCAGCTGATTAAAGGAATGCTCCGATTACTTCCCGGCAAATCAAGATGCTCTAGATTGAGGTTATGCGGCTGCTTTAATTAAACGTTATATCATCGGTGTTATTGGCCATTTGGATGGGTTGGTTACGTTTAGTTCATTGGATTTATCAAATCGAAAGTGATACATTCGGTTTTATTACAGGAATGTCTGAGTTTAGGAACAATTATTTTTTGATGGTTTGTTATAAATCGTATTTTAGCCTTTGGATTGCATTTGCAGGGGTTTAGAATTGTGCACGTATCTGTACTGAATGTATTTATGAGTATTCTCAATTGTTCAATAAACTGACGATAGAATCGATACTATGCAGACCATTCCTCCATTACATACAACCCACAGCACGTTTTTGCGTAACCATCTATCGAATAATTATCACAATGAGTTTTTCGTAGTTTGGTTCGTTGTACACATTGAAAGTTATGAGGGCGTGCATTGGGGGAGGTGTGTTTTTTCTCGTCACAGTTGGCAGCCCTAATGCAATATTCATGTCGCAGGTGGCACCACTGCATCACAGGCGTGTGCTATATCCCTTTGTATTAAGCCGTCAAGGGTTGGCAACACTTGATATGTATCACGTCGCGTGGATTAACCCTCCATTGTTGACATGAATGTAAAGAGGGGTCGCGGTCGCGGTTGATACAGCAATTGGTTTCATTTTGGAACTTTGTATGTCATTATGAACTTGTTATTTTGATATTAGTTGCACAGTTCGAACTATTTTCAGTTAAATTAATCAGGTGTTGGAGATCAAGATAACTTCGATACTTTTGTTGAATCTCTTCAATACATCAATGTTGATTTTGTTGTTTGTGTGCAATTGTCTGTAATTCATCAATACTGTACTAATCGTTGATAACATCCCCTCAAATGCAATTGTCTAGACACTAGTCATTTTCGTCTTCATTACAGGGTTGAGCTTGACAAATATTTTTTTGTATGGTTAGAGTAGGAAGTGTTGATGCCTTTGATACGATGTTTACAACAGCTTTGTGTGGTGTTTACACCGTGGCTATACTTGTAATTGTTTAGCAAACGTAGCGGTAGACCATATCGCTGTAAAAACGTTAGCGTTGGAGTAGTAGGCTGTTTTTATTTTACTGATGACAAGAGAATAGGGGTGGGGTTAACGACCAAAAGAAGCTTCTGAAGTGTCAGAATCCCCATCAGTATGAAATATGATTCCCCCACATTGAAGCAACTGAAAGCAACCTAAAGGGAGTTTAAGGTTCCTTTCTTTTCTTCGGATAATGCATGTAAATGTATTATTAACTAAACTAATCATGATTAAATACCGCATCAGCATTTTTACACTGCAGTTTCAGCCAAGGGCTATGCAATTATATTGAGAAGGAAAATGGAGGAGCGATTATCGAATCCCTCGCGATAATATTTAAATTTAATATAAATTTGTAAAGCTATAATATATGAACACAAAATTATTCTTATGCTCTCTAGCTATTAGCTGCTAATTGTTCAATCTGGATTTTAAATGAGTGGCTTTACAAAATTGTAAATCCAAATAATGTTAACTACATTATTTAATTGAGTTTAGTCATTTAATCATGAACGATTCGTACCACTTGAATTCTTTTCCACTACCTACTAATTTTAGCCCAATCGTTCACTCTGTTGTATGACAGTTATATTCAAAGACGATTACAGAAGTATCTTTCAATGTAAAGTATTCAAAACTCTAGTGCTTTGCTCTCTTCCATTAGTCGGTGTCTCTAATCTCCATGAATTTCTCCCTCTCTCTTTCTTACATCTGATGATGGTCGTGATAACCCAACTCATCATTATACTTCATTCCCTAAGTGATCTGAGTACAAATTGTTTCAACATTTACTTTATGATAATTCCCCAATAAGTCGAGTAAAGGAATTTATTTCCGATGCACTTATAGTCTTCCGTACATTCAGTATTGCAGTCTTTCATAAATAAATGTTAGATTTTAAAATTCTATTCGTACTGATATTTTCAAAAACCTCTGCAAAAATTAATACCCTTTCAACACACATTTAATTTCCTCAACGGAAATATTTTTGTAAGGATGACGTTAGATTGTTTAATATTCCACCACTGGACAGAGACAGGTTGCAAAACCTGTGGCAGGAAGGGGAAGTAGAGTTTAGCGACAGAGGGGGTCCTCCCCCACAGCGCAGGATGCTAGGGGAGGGGGTCCCTTTAAACACAATATTGTAATTGATGGCTCTTTGTAAACAACTGTATGCCTCGGGGGTGGACTTTGTTATGTTTTAGTCAAATGCACTTGGGTGAAATTAATGTGACCGCATGTGTACCAACTGGTCGAATGTAGTAGCAATGAGCTAGCTCTGTTGGCGAAATTATAGACCGGGTAAAATCAATGGGATCAAACTTTGTATTGGCAATAGATATTCGTTTTTGTCTAATTAGTACAAAAAAGTATCTAAGATTGTGTCTGGTAGAACAGTATTGGAAGTTAACGTTATTTTGTTTAGCATTATATAAAAATATAACGACAACGTTGATATGGAAAATTTGTCCTCACTGTCGTAGGTTTTGCCTAAGATGCT